AAACTTAAGCATATTTTATCCACAACAGAAAATTTCCAGTAGAGAAAGAGAGGTTGGAGATACAGGGAGAAGGAGTATCTACCAGAAAGCATCCCTGAAGAACTAACATAGCATGGAATTCAAAAAATGGTGGTGGAGGGCATTAGCCACAGAAAGAAAGAGGGATGTTCCTTCCTCCAACTCAAGAAGAACAGTTCTAGGAATGGGAAGGTCTGGGGGAAGGTCATGGGAAGGGGTGCCTGAAATGAACTTAAATTGAACAGTTAAGAGTTGTCTGCATTTATCTTTTATCTGTCCTTCCAGGAGCTCTGACAAGTATTAAAAACAATGAGAGGCAAAGAATTTTAATTACTCTGGAGAAAGAAATTAGTATAGTCAGTTCAGTTCTGCCATGTTGAAGTGAATTTGGTAACTTGGTTTATGGAAAGAAATCTGGATTTAACTACTACTGCCAGAATGTTTTAAATTTTTTAAAACAAGGTGACCAAACTTCAGATTAATTAGTGTAATCTATTTCACTCATAAATCCAGGACTATAATTCTCAAACTTGATTTTGCAATGCCTAGTTACCTCAAGAGCTATTGCAAAGTTGTACCCAAATACTCAAAACAAGTTTAATTTTGATTCATCTAAAAAACTATAAATATATGTGCTCTATGTCAGCATTTATGAGAGGGAGGAGAAGTTGTGAAATCAAACTAAAATAGTAAGATATCATAATGCCCAAATGCCTGTCAACTACTATACTAAGCAGTTGGAATCATTCTAAAGTTCCTAGGTAAACTGGATTTAAGCCATTGATACATTAATTCAAGTGGGAAAATTAAGATTGGTTTTGAACCATGAGATCAAGAGAGTGGAACAAGAAGTCCCAGCTTAAGAACACCTAATTTACAAAACCATATATGTATATTTATAGCCAGACAGAGTCGTGCTAAACACCACGTTCTCCTACATTCAATGGTAAACTCTGATCATGGCCAAGTAAAAGCAATTCCCTGACCCTCAGGTAGCCATGTCTTCTGAACATGGACCCGTATTCACTCTCCATCCCACCTCCATCAGATACACTCCTCTCACCATGAAGGGTTTGGAGGGATGACAGATAATTCCAAGTTCAAAAATTTAAACTCATTTCCCATTGAAAATAATAATAATAGGTTAATAATTATAAAACTTATTTTCCAGGCTAGATTACAAAGTCTTTTTAGCCCATATCGTAAGTAAAATAGTTCTGAATTGTCTCTATGGAAAAGTATGCTCCGAGTTCCAAACCCAATTCAGGAAAATAATTTTTGGAACCAACTCACTCCTAAATTGGAAAGAGCTCAACGGTTTGTTCTTGCTTCCCCACCCCCCACTCCCTTGTTCAATTTATCTCATAATATAATAAAGTCCCTCATTTGCCACATGAAGACAGTCATTCTTGATTTGGAGCTCACTCTATATTCCTCATAGATCAGTGGTTAACCAGCAAATTGAGTATCAACCTATCACAAGATTATACACATTGGCATGTTGTGCTGGCGTTCTGGTCCTCCCAGCCCCGGGTGGACTCCCTGACGGTGATAGAAGCATCTGTCAACACCCATCCTGACATGGGCATAAAGGACTGGTTGGGGAGACTGTAGATGAAGCCATGGAGGCCATTGGAATGTGTCTCATCTGCAGTTATCCAGATGGAAGACAATAAGAGCCTGGAACAAAGGGGTGGCATTTGGGCAGGGAGATTTTGGCAGGTAAGAGACACGGAAGAGGTAAAACCCACCGGAGTTGTCAGCTAATTGCTCATGGGGTGGGATAAAGATCATGAGGAAAGGCTGAAGACCAGAAAATCCTTCTATCCTCCCTGAAGCAGCAGTGCTCCCCATCTCCTCTGTGCTCCCACAGAAATTCCTTCTATTTTCTCCAGGTATGAGACTTACCCTCAAAATAGACTGTAAGCTGGATGAAGACTGGAAACATGTCTGCTTGATCTTTCATTCCCCCAGCCTCTAGATGCAGTACCGAGCATCCAGGAGTTTATCAGTACATGTTTTAATGGTTACCCCCTGCCCCATGAGTAGATCCCATATGTCTCCCTTACAGAAATAAAGCCAGCTGGGACTCCAGAACACTCCTTTCCCTTGGGATCCTCACAATCAGCGTACATCCTTTCCTACCTGCTATGCTCTCTGGAGCTGCATGCTCCTCTGGACTGCAAACACATTTTAAATGAATGACTTCTCCTCAGAATCTACTCCAAAATTTCCAGCAAGTTTTCCTCTTTGTCTTACCTCCCAAAACCCTACCCTATTCCCCTCTGTTCCCCAAAATCTAGCCTTCTTTTTTTTTAGTTTTTGGTGAGGAAGATTGGCCCTGAGCAAACATCTGTGCCCATCTTACTCTATTTTGTATATGGGACGCTGCCACAGCTTGGCTTGATGAATGGTGTGTCAGTCCATGCTCGGGATTCGAACCTGCGAACTCTGGGCTGCTGAAGAGGAGCACACAAACTTAACCACTATACCACCAGGCCAGTCCCAAAATCTAGCCTTATTTTAAACTCATTTACACATTTCTTGCTGGGGCATTTTGTCTGTATTTTGGTATATTGTGGCCATTTCTTAGTAAACACAGGAGAGAGCTTCTCCTTCTGAGGGTGGAGTCCTGCACGGCATCCTCTTAGTTTTCACATGCCCTCTTTCAAGGCCTTCTGCAATATTTTTCTGTGCCGGAAAGCCAGTGGGGTTTTGCACAGGGACTGTAATGGCTGAGTCTAAAGCAGAGTGGTGTCTATTAACCATTTGACGCTTCAAGTTTATCATCTTGATGAACAAATAAGTTGTCATTTGCCCACAGGTCCCAATTTTGAGTGGTAATCGAGAACTCTGTAGCTCATCTCCCTATGCTCCTAATTTGGACCAATTTCACCTAAGAGTATTTATTTAACCACTTCAATTCAATTTGACTCTACCTAAGACATTTAATCCAACAAATATTTATTGAGCTCCTCTATAAAAGGGACTCTGACAACTTTCCATCTCTTCACAGGATATCCAAGATCATCTTGCAAGTTAGCCCTCATGACTTACTATTTCACTGCTTGAAAGAGCTAAGTGTCAACTGTAAACATAAAAATTTCCACTGCTTAATCTTCTTTTAAATCATTTCTGAAAATGTTTAGTGAGCCAGTGCCTTATCCTTGATCAGGATGTTCCCCTCTGTGATGGTTAATTTTACGTGTCAGCTTGGCTGGGCCATGGTGGCCAGGTATGTGGTCAAACATTATTCTGGACGTTTCTATGAGTGTGTTTTGGATAAGATTACCATTTAAATCATTGGCTTTTGAGTAAAACGGATTGCCTTCCATAATTTGTGTTGGCCTCATCCAATCAGTTGAAGGTCTGAAGAGAACAAGACTGATCCCCAACCCCCGCCCCCCACCAAACAAGGGAGAATTCCACCAGCAGACAGCATTTGGACTTGAACTGCAACATCGGCTCTTCCCTGGGTCTCCAGCCTGCCAGTCTGCCCTGCAGATTTTGGACTTGCCTGCCTCCATAATTACGTGAGCCAATTCCTTCAAATATATATAATTTATTTTATAATATATATAATATATTATATACTATATAATAATAATATATGTGTATATATTGTGTGTATATATATGGATGCATATATATGGATATATATACATCCTATTATATTCTCTGGAGAATCCTAATACACCCCCATTCACCATCCGGGTCTTTGAGATGGATGATTCTGTCTTGGCAGGAGAGGACACCTTGGGTAGGGCTGGGAGTTTGTTGGAGATTCTGACCAAAGATCTATAGGAACAAGGGAAGAAGAAGTGCTCTGGTGGTCTGATCCACGACTGGGCACATGACATGGGGGAAAGAATCCCAGGGAGAGCAAAGGGAGAGAAGTAGCCTCTTAGACTAGTATCCCAGAAGTGATCTAAGAAATTATATAGATCTCTGAGAGGGTATCAATAATCAATGCAACTTTATTAATTGAATTTAAAATATGTTGAAGTTGGGGCCGGCCCCATGGCGTAGCGGTTAAGTGCGCGCGCCCGCTGCTGGTGGCCCAGGTTCAATCCCAGGCACGCACTGACGCACCGCTTGTCAGGCCATGCTGTGGTGGTGTCCCATAGAAAGTGGAGGAAGATAGGCACAGATGTTAGCCTGGGGTGAGTCTTCCTCAGCAAAAAGAGGAGGATTGGCATGGATGTTAGCTCAGGGCTGATCTTCCTCACAAATAAAATAAAATAAAACAAAATAAAATAAAATAAAACAAAATAAAATAAAATATAAAATAAAATAAATAAAATAAAAATGTTGACGTTTTATTTTCAGGGTCTGGTGTGTATTTTTTGTGCATTACTCTGTGCAGTTATTTTACCCAAGACCACACGGGACTGAAAGATTGCCTGCTCCACATTAAAACCATTCTTATCATACTAGTGTTGACATGAAGCTGGGGTACACATTGTCTACCCTGCTTTTCCACTGTTGGTTCCAGTGCTTATTCCTCACAGAAAGCAGTAAAGCTTTCCTTCTCTCATAGAGCCCATACAGATACACCCAGTTTACGCAACGAGTGGGCTCCTGCAAATGTATGTGATGCATACCTTGGTGAATTGCTTTATATTTTAAAGACACATTTGAGTAGTTAGCTATTTTAAGGAAATTTTACAAGTATCTCATTTCTTAATGTCATAAGCCATTCTGATTCAAGATCATCACCTCTCTCTAATGTATTAGCTTACAAAGTTTCATTTTTTGCTTCAGAGGTTTAATTAAAGCAAGATAAAACTATACTTAATAACATTCAGTTACCTGAAAGAGTTATTGTAGCAATGCCTAATACATTACCAGACAGTAGTTAAATGTCTCGAATAAATGCTAAGTTGTCCAAATAAAGCTAATTAACAACTTCATTAGGAATAAATGCTGCTATTTTCCACATTTTTCTATATTTTTTCAAAAGAAAACATTCACACAGTGAAGGGAATTAGAATCTATTTTTATATCCCTAGAGTAATAAACATTTGTATCAAAATATTTACAATTATAGTATATGAAATATCAATCTATTAAAGAAGAAGCCAAATACAGTACTAGAACAACCCACCAATGTAATGCAAATTACATGAGACATAAATGTCACAGAAACAAGGTAAAAGACAGAGGAATACATGGTTCACTCCAGTCATAGTTTGACTTTTTAACATAATGCAAGTATCTCTTTTGAATATATCTGATATGTAAGTATGCTTCTGCACATAAGACAGCCTTCTGTAATCATGTGATAATCAAATCATAATTAAAAAGTTCATCATCCCACAGTTTTTGCTTGCCAATCTTTCTACCCCCAGTGCAGGTAATTTGGTGGCCTGTCCTCAACATTCCTTTAACCAGAATGAACATAGAGAAATATACTTAGTAATAGTCCTTTTATATAAATACTAGCAATCATGGCATAACAACTCCCCCAAAAAGGAAAAGTATAAAAGAAATGGGATGAGGAGAGTGCTGGGAGAAGGAAAGTAGGCAAGATGTCTCAGATTCTCCCTGGGGTAAATCTTCTTCTCAGGGTGATAAAGGAAATGTCTTCTCAAAACAACCCCTTTAGAATCTGAAACGGCTTAAAATAGCTGCTCCAGGCCAAAGCCACGCCTGCTTAACCAGGAATAACATACTACAACTAAGTCCTCCGTAGAGATGCTCCTGTGGCAACAGACAGCTCAATTACCATCTGACTGGGTACCACAAGATGTTTTCTTTCTTTTTTTTTCTTAAAGAAAATATCTACCCATCACCAATATTTTTATCTCACAAGAATTTTTTTATTTTCCTAGAGCACAGGCACTCTGTTTTTATCATGACTGAAATCTAGTATGCTTAATACTTTACAATGATATAGCACCTTTTACCCAAGGATCTGTTGTTTGGTTTTGGTTTGTGTGTGTTTTAAGAAGCTTCCAGAATTGCCCCGCCTCACCTGTGACGTAGGATAGACAGGGCCACTGGACACTCCAGCCAGCGTCAAAGCTAGAGCTATCGCTGTCTAGGAGCCCTGATCCCCAGTGTGGACGATTAGACAAAACTTCCCCAAAAGTTTATAATTTAGAGGGAGAGTAACAGATTGTGTTACAAGGGGCCATGTCCATCTCTCTCCTATTATATACTTAAAAGAAACATTGATTTTATGGAGAGGGAATCCTAAAAATATAACCCTAATGTCACACTGTTGCAAGACTGCCCCTTGATCCCATAATTTGTGTGGTGCCTTTACCACTGAATTGGTCATTAGTGGCTTTACAGAAACTCCAGAAGAGCTGCCTTGGCTTTAAGCGAGAGGTCTAGCAAAGTCCATAGCAAGAGGTCTCATGAGGGACAGCTATGTGAGGTCTGGTCTGGGTTCTGACCATCCCCTAGGCCTTCCGTTGTGAAAAGTTCTCTTTCTTGGTTTAGCTAACCAACCAACTTGATCTTATGACTAGATATCCTCCTCCCATTTTGTCACAAATACCACTGAATTCCACAGAGCTAAATATCTGTTCTAAAGAGGGATAATGGTTTCCTGGCCAAAGCTGTCCTGTCAACCCTTCAGACTGGAATGTGATGTTTTGCTTTGGGTCAGAGGGTGGGATGGCTTCCAGGCTCAGCATATTCAGCACAAAAACAATATCAGCTCTTGCTGGAACTTGTACCGCTATTTAAACCTGGTGCAGTAGGTCTGAGGATCGCAGTGAGAGACCCAGAATTCACCCTCAGAAGCGGAGCCAGTGGTGCGGCAGCTGATGGAGCCCCAGGTAGTGTGTGTTACTGAGAACTCTGCTGGAGGCCAAGTCTGGTGGCTGGAGAGAGGCTCTCTGGCCTGCATCACGGGAGAATCGACGTACTAGCCAACTACTTTCTCCCAAGAACAGAGGCTTGACAGTAGAGAACCTCCGCAGGAACGGTGTGGGTTTCAGCCTCTCCCACCCTTACGTCCCCCTCCCCCGCCCCCCTTCCCTCTCCTGGTTTTTCCTGCATAGCAACTTCCACATCCCTCCCAGATTCAACGGCTTCCTTCTCCCCACCCCCCAGATCCCCATACACTGGTTCAGCCTTATTTCTTTCTCAGGACCAGATAGAGAACGCCAATGATGAAACTAAAGCAAAAGCAGATCCAGGCCAGGATGAAGGAATAGCCGTGGTGGTAACCACTCGGGTGCGCGTAACGGTTAGTGTAGATGGATACCCCGATCAAAACGCACAGCCCTGCAGGAGAAAAAAAAGTTTTGTTTTGCTTTGTTTTGTTTTAACATTAAAACCAAGGAAAACATTTTCGAATTTTTAAACGATCCTATTTCCCTCATCAGCAGTGGGAAAATGGAATCTGGCTGTTTGACCCCAAATAGTAGTTCTGAGGACTTGCCCTGAACCAAGCTTGATGGTTGTGTCAATAAATTAGAGGTGTTTGGGCTCTCACATCTGCACTTGTTTGTGTGGCTGCAAGTGTGAAGTAAAACACAGAACCTCGTGTCGGCCACCCAGCTTTCCCGTCTGGACCCCAGCATATGTAGGCAGGCTGCCCAGGGATGCAAAAGAACATGACCTTCCACCACACTGTGTGTATTTGGGAAGAATGACAGGAGAATGATAATGGCAGTAATTTCATGCATTGTGGCAGTAGTGTCATCATTCCAAGGACTCCCACCTTCCTGCCCTCTTCAAGTGTCTTGTATACACATGCTACTGATGGGCATGCCCCAGCCACTTGGTGGCTACCCAAAAGCACTAGATTTAAACAATGAAGCAGATAAGGCTTCTTATTCCAAGCAGCTATCAGGGGTTCTCAAAAAGAGAACAAATCACAGGAGGAGAAAATTTCACTGAGCCATGCGCTCATCTGTCCAAGTTGCAGGAGCACCCGTGGTAAGATCTACATAAAAGCTTTTCCTGGGCCGGCCCTGCGGCGTGGCGGTTAAGTGCGCGAGCTCCACTACCGACGGCCCTGGTTCAGATCCCGGGGGTGCACTGACGCACCGCTTGTCTGGCCACGTCCCACATACAGCAACTAGAAGGATGTGCAACTATGACATACAGCTATCTACTGGGGCTTTGGGGGGCGGAAAAAAAAGGAGAAGGATTGGCAATAGATGTTAGCTCAGAGCCAGTCTTCCTCAGCAAAAAGAGGAGGGTTAGCATGAATGTTAGCTCAGGACTGATCTTCATCACAAAAAAAAAAAAAAAGCTTTTCCTGTGTAAGCTGGAGCCTGCCCCTGAGATACTCACAGCACACCAGCATGGTGGCCCCGGAGAGGAAGAAGCGGTTTCCTTTCTCCATGGTGAAGAGCTGGAATATGAAGACCACGAGAGCGAGGACAGAGAAGATGATGGAGAGGATCATGAAGGCCTGGACTGACTTGAGGGCATCTGTGGGCACAGGGGGAGGAGCGCGAGGGCATTAGGCCAGATGTTTCCCTGATCACACGAATTGTCAGCATTGAATATAGTGTCTTTATATATACCTTCCCCAGAATATGACAGATCATCGCAGCTACCGTTGGTACAGTTTTTCCAAAGACCTTGTGATGATGATCCATCATTTTTAACCACCCAGACCTGAAACCAAAGGAAACAGAAAGTTGTTTAAAAACTGACCCTCTGCTTGAAACGAAAAAGAAATCAGCTTGTGTCAGGACCAAATCTTAAGCAAGACACCATACTTAGCCATAAATATGGCTAAGCAGCCCATCTCTTGGTGGAAATAAGGTCTGACTATAGCTGAAGTCACAAAGTTCCCAAGAGAAAAGAGAGAGAAGAATGTATGGCCAAGGAAAAATCACCAAGCCTTTCTGGGCTTCACATTCCTCATCACTTTGAAAAAAAAAAGAAGTAATTCAACCATAGTGGTTTAAAATTCTGAAGTTCTAAGAAACGGAAAACTTGGATAAGGATATTGGTTTTAAGTATGCACAATTCATACACTCCATCAAGACTGTTTCATTTAAGGACCTGGCTAAGAAGGGGAAAAAAGTCAAGGAAAAATGTGCAACCAGAGATAACTAAGAAACATAAGGACAACTAAGAAAATAGCGATGAGTCTGGGTGGTCAATAAGCCACTTTCATTTAAACAGAAGGATCAAACTTTGACTGTCACTACAAGCAAAGTATTTTCCTAGTAGAATAGTACAGCGAGAGCTTTACTGTGGGGGCAGCTGAAAGCAGAAGAGAGACCAAAATGTATTCCCTGAGGCTCGCCACAGAGCCAGCGCCCCTTCCTACCTGACCCAAGAAAAGCAATTATCTTTCTGGGATGGAAAACAAACACCAGCCCTGTCCACACAGGGTGTCTGTTAAAATGTACGTTACTGAAAAGGCAGGGCCACGGACGTGCAATCGCCTGCTCTTGATTCAATAAACAACTGTGCACCAATCCCCATGTTAGAGGCTGATAATTCAGAGATACAGCACTTTGGCATCCGCTAATACAGTTTGAAGTCGTTTATCAGACCTGTTATCCTGAGAGACTCAGGGGCTGGCATACAGAATAGCTAAGTTAGTCCAGAGGAGGCTGCATGGGTGAGGGTTCTGTCTTATCACGGTTATGCTTAAATTAGCCTTGCTTCCAATCACACCCACCAGTGTTGGCAAAACTCTTCTAGCTGGACTTTTAAACCCATTTATCTTTTAACCGTAACAGGGCCCTAAACAGATTCTGGAACCATCTTTTGCCTGTCTAGCGATGGGTGGCCTTGGTTTTTACGTCCAGGGAGCTTTCTTTTTTTCTGAGAAAAGCACAATAAAAGCAAAGTGAATGCTACAAACTGCCACTAGAGGTCAGAGTAGCCCAAGATTCAGAGAGAAGAGTCTATTGCTACCTCCATGATACTTATATGTTGCTTTGTTTGCGTGAGTTAATTCAGCGGAACCAAGTTAATCTTGCAAAATTCCACTTTCACATGCTAGTCTCTGCTCAGAACTTGAACTCGTCAGTCTGGCCACTCAAACCTCTCATCCTCTCACTCCCCTCCATCCTTCTAATCAAGGTTCCCAGAAGGAAGGGATGCTCTGCTCCTGCCACACAGGTGTCCTCGTTATGCCCTGAACGAAGCCTGTCCCTCCCACCTGGGCACCTTGGCTAGCACTCCTGCCTGAAATGCATCCCTATGCTCCTTCCACCGTTCATCTTTCGGCAAGAGAAACCCCACCCATCTACCCGTCGTCCAAGTTCCACCTCAAACTCCATCTCTTCTGAGGAGGTTCTAGATACTGAAGATGTCTCATGATATTCTCCAGCCTCTAGACGCCTACAGCTTTGGCAAGATTACTCCTGTAGATACTGGCTTGTATCCTCCTGTTATTTAATTGTTTGAAGTGTGAGTGTGTGTTTATTTTTTCCCACAGATAAGCTGTAACTACATGAAGGGCAGGGGTGGTGTCTTAAATCTCTTCTGTAGCACTTTATGTAAATATTCAAACAACTTCTGGGTGAAGGAATGAACAAAAGAACATTACTCACATTGGCAATCGTGGAAACAAATAACATAACGACAGTGGCGATGTGGACCACAAAGATACCAGCCAGTAATACCAACATCTTGGCTTTTTGATGACTCAAAAACGAGAGTTCTGAAAAGAAAGAAGAAAATAAAAGGGAAAGAAAGTTACTGTCAGGTTCAATTCAGCTTTCCCACATGTGTGGACTATCTGCTCACATCAGTTGCAATAAAAACCATCACAATTTCAGCAAAAATTCCTGAAAACACCTAGTTAGCCCAGTTCCCTAAGTGCCTATTTGTCTATTTACATATACCTAAATATAAACACAATTCTGCTTCTCGAGTATTTATATACTCATCTCTCGAATACAGCCTGTTTCAAAAAAAGAACATTTTATGATAACTGTTAACATTTTATTTTGTTTGTGTTTTAGAGGTGTTTTGATTTTTAAAAGGCCTTTTCACAGCTATAATTTCCAGATATCTGTGCAACAATGTCACATAATGTCCATTTTCCACTAGGGAAGCATCCATGCCTCTATCAAACTGCTCACCCAGTAATTTTAATAGAAGTGGATGCCTTCCACAGAATAGCAGCTATTACTCAACGTCCATAGATTGAATAGGCTACTAACTTGATCCCAGGTGAGATATAAAATGTGAGAGCCACAACTCCTGGGATTATAATGCTGTTTGGTATTCAATAATTATAACAACCTAATTACAGTTTAGTGGTCTGATGACCTACTGATTGAACATTTCAGATTTGTGTTACCGCACCTGAGCCTTTGGCCTGTGTGTGCCTCACAGCGGGGACTCTGCTACGGATCTGGGTGCATAGCGCTGTATTTCCTACGGCTCAATATGACAGTTCTGGGGGCTTTAGAAGTATGCAGCTTGAGATACCACCAAACATGCCTTCTGCTTGTGCATGACATTTACACAAATTCCAATCCCTCGGGACTCCATACAGAAGACAGGCAAATGCATAAGTCATTTGGGAGGTGGGAGAACTGAGAACTAATATAGATTAAGAATGTGCGTGGATAAACAAAAGCGGTCAGCCATGATCTCAGCAGAGCAGAGGGGAGCCCATTGATGATAAAACCTCGAAAACGAAGGAAGTGTGAAGGATACACATGGGGGAGGCGACTCTGATTTATGTCACCTGCAGAAGGAGTGCTTTGTCATGCCCAAGACAGTTACGACGCAGGGCAGGCTCACAGGGACTTCAGAAGGAAAGGGCTCCAGGTTACTCACAGCCTAGGCAGGGTGGATGTGTGGATGTCCCCACCTAGGAAGGGGATGGCTGTGCACATCCTGCCGTTGTCCCACCTCTCTCTCTCTCTGCACTTAATTTAATTGAAGCTTTGAGTGTGCTTGAACATTCTCCTACTGTAAATACCAGGTATTTACTGGAGAGCACTGACGCTATCAGACCAACACTTCAGTGCCTTTTATCTTCTCTCATTCTCCTCATCAGGCACTCAAAATCTAGACTGATCTAATGTACACGAGGGTGCCTTGCTGTTTACAGGCCAGGAACGAGAGGCAGACACTGGCTTCCACGGTCCACCCCGACCCACTCCAACCACCTCTGCCCTCCTTCCCAATCCAAACACTTCCCTCCAACCCGGGCTATTTTGTAGGCATTTGTCCAATTTATCTGTAAATAACAAAAATGATGAAGTTTATTCTGCCACCTCAGGGGAGAACTGGAAGCTTTCATGCCTGCTATTAATAATTTCCCCACACATTCAAATTCATTTCTGCTTTTCCCAGTTCTTGCACACCTCCACGATTTTCTGTTTGACTTTAATGCACAGTGAAAAGAGGTTTTTGAATTAAATAGAGGATGAGTTAGAATCATACAAAGTGATGTGAACTTTGGGTCTCAGTTTCCTTCTATACAAAGTGGGGGTTGCAATGCCAGTTGTACAGGGAAATATGAGGGGTAAATTGGATCATATATGTAAAACTCTTAGCACAGTGCCTGGCACATGGCAATACTAATGGAGTTGCTTTGGTTGAGGCTATTAGGATTACTATTATTAGTATATGAAGCTGAGTAGCTGTTGTCAACCCAACCCAGTCAGTCAGTCACCAGCTGCCTCAGGTTAAGTGCAAGTAACAGGATATCTACTATCTACTTCACAAGCCGGTGCATACAAAATCCTTTTGATCCTCTTAGAAATTGTCGTTATACCTCATCTTTACCCCTTGAGTGGGGAGACCACTAAGAACACACCCTGGAGAATGAGGAGGAAAAAGCTCACTCTTCTCAGCCCTGTCCTGACTATCCTCCCAACACCCCCAAGATTCCCACCATCACTTGATCCTGATCTCACCCCTCACAGGGAAAGGAATAGGCTGAATGCAGGGTATTAAAATATTATATAATGAATCTTATATTTAAACCCTCCTTATGCTCTATGAATGGCTTTTTTATTCCTTTTGCTTCTAATTTACAAACACCTTCCTCTTAATAGTGGGGAGTGGTTGAGCAGCCAAGAACAGAACATAACACACCAAGTGAGGCCTCTTAAATGAGGTTGAGGAAAATGTTGTGCTTTGCCTCCCTGACGTGCTGTTGGGAATTCAGCAGCATTTTCTGTCTCCTTGGGTTGCTGTGTAACCTCCCAAAGTCGCGTCTGATTCCTTTTGCCCCTGCTCAGACTCTCCTTTTTGAGGACTTGAATTTATTGCATTTCAAATACCCTCTTCCCACGGCACCTCCATCTCGGCCCATCCACCGCAAACCCAGGAGTGTGCGAGATCCTGGCCTCTGGATCTCACTTCTGATCTTATCCACAGCCCCACCTGATCATTATTCCCCTGTCCATGGCACGCAGGAGGAGTGGGTGGGGGAATCAAGCAAAGAAGCGACTCTCTTTCATCTTAGATTTTCATCATTGTGCCACATCTATTCACTAAGGAAAGGAGCAAAATGTCTTGGATTAGCAGGTGTTCTTAGGGTACAGAACACACAATTCTCTCCACTTTTGGCTATTGTATCCAGCCAGAGGTGGGGGCTGTTTAGCTGGAGCAACCACATAATACATATAACTTATCCATCTTTTCACTGGCCCAAATTTATCAGGTTTTATTAGTATCATCCATTGTCAGCTCAGAGGGGCTTCCATCATTTCCAATGGCCCTTCCCAACACATTTGGAAACAGAATGAACTATCTTCTAAATTTCTGGTCTGGATCATCCCTAGTTACCCAATCCCTATACTAGAGACCCCTCAGCAGAAAAACCCTCGGTGGGGGGTTGAGGGGAAAGCAATCCTTGAAATCTTCATGAACAACCATGAGTGGTACCTAATGGATGAATGGGGGATTTACCACATAGCAGAGCAGAATGGGTATAAATAACAGAAGATCCCACGCTCTTGAGACTTCCACCCACCCATTATTTGCAGTGTGGCTTGTGGGGAGACTCATTCCCTGCGCTGGTGTGTATTTTGCTTCATACAAAAGCAGTGAAAAGAGACCATTTCTGAGCATTTATATTATTGGAAGTATTGGCTCCTACAACTCTCTTTCCTGGCAGTATGTTTCATTAAAACAATAATTGATTTCTCTCTCACACCTTTCTAAAATGCTACGGATGGCACTCTCCAGTGGGAAGTATACCCCTAGTCATAGCTGGGCAGCTCAAACCAGAGTAACAGCACTGCAATGCTGAGTACTTGGGTGAAACGCCCACCTCTCACAGAGCATTTGGTGCACTGGGCAGTCCCAAAGTTTGCCAGTTGTTTCTTGGGAACCCCCATAACAGCCACACTATGTGGTGTGTAGACTCTCAGACCCAGGGCATCAGAGGTGGTCAATTCACAGTGTTCTTTAAGGACAGGATGTCCTCTGAGTGTTCTACGTAGGGTGCCAGGGACACATTTCTCCACCCACCGCTGTAAGCAGAGTAAGATCTCCTCCTTTACCCTCATCTTCCCAACATGCCTGGGACAGGCGTGGTCAGGGCTCCATGGGGCTGGGTGGGAAACTGAGAAAAGTGCAGGAGGCATGAATGTTGACTCTAGAGAAGGGGCTGTTGAGAGAAATGGAGGTTAGAGACTTAGAGCCACACATAAGTTCTCTGTCGTTCCTCTTCTGTTCTTCCTCTGCCCTAACACAAGGCCTGCAGGTTCCCGTCCCACCGCCGCCATCTTTGTTTTGACCGCGCTTCCCCTGTTCTACCCGCGTTGCCCAGATCACAGTAGAGCAGCAGCCGCTTTATGCTCCTGTCCCTGATGCAAGCCTCACAACCACTGACCATTCTAGACTTGGATTAAGATCTTTGCCAATAGAAGATTTATTACACTCGGGGCAAATGACCCTGAGAATTATAATTGCTGGTGACTGGAGGTGTAAATGACTAACTCATGTGGGAGGGAGGAAATGGAGGGGGACAACTGCCCTCTCTAGTTGTCTCCATCCGCTCAAATCTTTCCTGCTTTCTTTCCTCCCTTTTATACCTCCCTGCCCCCCAAAAATGGAAGACTCAAAGGAATGGAGCTCTGAGGCTGCCTTGCATTGCGTCTTTGCCTTAGCTCAGGTACCCTAACACTTTTAGGGTACTCAACCACAAGAAATTAATCAGACCCCTTTGCTTTTCTGATGGGTAACTAATACTGCAGAAACTGAGAATAATTGACATCTAAAGGCACAGTAGGGGAGTTTAGATGGTAATTTGGCTCCATGATGGCTAAGCTAGGGGTCAGATAACTTTTTCCTGCCATGGAGTCTGTGTGTTTATTGAACTGCCACCAGAGCCTGGGGGATGGGGTTCCCTAAGGGTGGTCTAAGGCACAATAATTGGGAGCAATACAATAAAATAGGGCAACCAAAAACCTACTTCTCTGGCAAAGGAAGTGGTGGAAATCCTAGGCTTGAGTCACTGAAGAACTAGCCTGAGCCTGGGGGTATAACAATCAGAAACGGGGGCAAAGGGGGCTGTGTGAACAGTGGGCGAGTCCCTCCCATGATTCATTTGAGAGTGGGTGAGATCCTCCCAGACAAAGGCAAAGCGGAGGCATCCTCTACTAGATGGTGCAAGAGAGCTTTCTGAGCAGCATGAGCATCTGGCTGGCCACCTAGAAGACAGTTTAGTCACTTCCCTGAGAGCCTA